GCCATTTTCTGCACAGTACGGCGCCATCGCCCGATCTCCAGGTACTGGGTATGATTTAGCATTTATTACGGAATATTAGTGCGTACAGGTCTAACGCCAATGGAATTCATTATTAGCAAAAACGATCACCGTTTTAGTAATCTTCCGAAACGAATCTTCGGTGCAATTTCTGCCCATTTCCGGAAGTAAAGGCCTTGATGGAATCTAATCCAAGATTTGAGCTTGCGGCGGCTAGCCTGATGGAGCGGGCCAATCGCTTCGATCACGCCGTGGCTTCTCTTCTCTTCTTTGACTGGAAGCCAGTACACTGCTCAGGTATATCTTGTTCGTGTGCGAGTGCCCGCTGGGATTCTGGTTGGAAGAAAGGCGGCCTGGTGTGGCGCCGGCGGCCATGCCACTCATTTTCGCCAACTGTTGTCTTAGCTCACTTCAGCAAACTGTTGGGAGAACTAAAGTTGGCGCTGCGCACAAGTCCAGTCACAACACCACTGGCCTGAAAACTTCGCGAACAAGACTATAAGTTTTGTATTCACATCAAAGGACTTTGAACTGTTGGACATTTTGAGGGCTCAAATTCCTGTGAAAACTGGGAGCCCGACTGCGACTTGAGTGAGCCCAGCTGTGATATTCGGCGTGCTCAGAAGCAATTCGCATCATCTTTGCGAGGCTCAGGTTTCAAGACATAATAAATCTTCAATCTCTAGTTAAGCTTGCAGCTGTCAACATCCTAGAAGTTTACCTCAAATGCACGTTGGCTATGGTAACAGTTTTGCACTCGCTAAGTCGCTTTATGAGCTCGTGACTTGTTCGCCCTTGCTGGCAGAGAATTGCCAAGAGGCATTGTGTCTAGCCGCACCATTCCCGCTTCCTCCCCTATCTCATTGTCATTACGGTCCGCCCCTATTGACTATGACTGGGCGTTCGATAGTGGGCATCATAGCAGACTGGCCACCTTTTGGCGGCCTCACGAATACTTTCGGTCCTCAAACCGCAACACGATAAGCATTTACCGGGTCATCTGCATTATTTATTTACCGAAATAGAAAAGTTGCTTTCTTCTTTTCCCTTTATTTTGTCTTTCTCTTCTTTTTATTCGTTCCAAGAATTCAGACATTAGTTGAATTTTGTTGTTTCGTATCCATTTCTCATTTCGGTATCGGTTTTGTCCCAGATGTGATCCTTTACAAATCTCGCAGCTATGTTGTACAAAAAGCATTCTATTATCTCTCCTAAAAATATTTTAACACTTTTGAACATCGGTTTTGCTCGGCACCATCGATATCCTCTATCGGGACTGCCTTTCTTCTTTCTCGCGGGCAGTTGCTTCTAGCACTTTATTCATGGTCAAAGGTGGCAGGAAGGGGGAGAATGTAGGAAGGGTTTGGCGCGATCAGCCCTTCCCTTTTTCCTCCTGCAAGTGAGAGAAATGTATCAGGTCGTTCGTAGCGGTCGTTTTTCACCAGTTGTTGTCGCTTACTCGCTCAACAACTGGTGGAGAACGGGCTTGGCGCAGCGCTCAAACCGAGCCATCATTCAGCACGCCCTCATGATTCGCAAGCGGTCTGTAAAGGTTTCAACTTAAAAAACCAGCTGCTTTTTCGCTGCACTTGTGTATTCATCGCTCGGAGTAAATAGTCCCTGAGGAAGTCGGAGTTAGTAAGCTGAAAGGATACCATCTCTTGTCAATACACTTGTTGGTAATTCCAAGCAGGGCATATGCGGTTAATTGAGGAATTACTCAACAGGGAGTGGGGGGGGGGTCAACGTGCGGCGCTGGGAGGGCGGGGCCGTGTTTGGAAAGGGGGGGGGGGGGGGGGGGGGGGGGGGAGGAATGGGGGGGGGTGAGAAAAAGTTTCTAACAGTTGATCTTTCTTAGTTTCAGCGACAGGTCGCTAAAAAGGGGGCGTGGGGTGGGGTGTATCCTATCCTTCCGGTCTTTCGAGAAGAGTGTTGCTCAACTGTTGGTCGTTTCTGTTTATGTGTACATAGTGCCCCCCCCCTTCCGCTCAGCATCAAGCAGCAAAATTTCTGAGTAATAAAAAGAAAATTTTCGATAATGCCCGGAAAAAGAGGTGACAATTGGGGGAACCAGGAACTGGTAAAATATGGGAGGTTAGATTCCGTATTTTCTGCGGTTTTCCTGTTTTACATGTGTTATATGTCCCCCTCCCGTCCGCAAACTTGCTCGATAAGCTGCGATGAGGAAGGAGCCAAGGGGGCGGTTCGATTCAGCCCCTTAATAAAAAAGAAGGGGGCAACGGCTGTGCATTGACCCTCCTGGGAACCAGGCACACCATCGCTCGGTCAAAATCCCCTAGCCGATGCGTGTGCCTGGTTCCAGTAGACGTCAAGGTATGCGTGAAGTGCGCTACCGGGGTCACACTGACCAGGTTCGCTAATTCCGTGAATGGACCGTGTCGATTTCTCCATCGGCAGCTAGGACTCACATATTACCGCGTGCCCTGTCAATGGTCCCCGTCTGCCTAGTCGGTTCTTTTGACCGCTAATGCGAAGGAACTAGATAGCCAGAAGGGAATTATGAAACGCTTTTCCCCACCCTCGTTTCGACTGAGATCGCTTCAGAGATGGGCGCGTGCTGAAATGTCCCACGCCTGCGTTCTAAGTGCACTAAAAGCATCCAAGAATATCTGACGGAAACGCGATTCCTTGCAAAAGACGCATTTCCTTATTTTGAACGAACAAAATAGGTCTTTGATATTCTGGGTTTCTTAGAACATTCTACAGAACATTCTGTTTTGAGATTCACTTCAAGATAGTGCCTGACAAACAACTGTGCTGATCACGATACTGCTCTAAAAGGTTGTTTTTGTGGAAACTTCCTCTGTTTTCTGTAGTCTTGTTCACCTTAATCAGTGTCTCCAATTCTACTGAAAACTAAGGCGCAGGGGTCAGTTGCGGCAAGGGGGGCATTTTGCACTTTTGGCAGCTTTCCAACGTGTCCAGCCAATTTAGAGAGTCCTTTGCCTATCGATTTCAACAGGGTTTTACTATCGATGGCTTGCTCAGCTTCACAAGAGTTCACGAGGCCTCACCAAGAGCGAGACTAGTAAACCGACTAGTGAGCAGAGAGTGCGAATGCCCCCCCCCTCCTCGTCGTCAGGGCGAGTTCGACTTGGAGAGTGCAACAAATGGAAAGCCTGCGGGGCCACCTTGGAGACTTTGTGAAAACCTGTACATTCTTCGAACCAAAAGTGGCTCACTTATACTATCCCGCAGCCTTACAAAAGTTCGCAGGACTGTACAAAACTAGATATCTTATTCAGCATAAACTAACGAAAGTGTGGGATGCCTCTCCCAAGTCGAACAATGCCCAAAATGTTCACTTTTGATGAGCTATTTCTGACAGCAGTTCAATTTGCAACGCCGAATATTCAAATTTGGCAAACTTTTTCCTGACTCAACGTTTTTCGAATCTGAGTTTTTATTGAGGTGAAGGGGTTTGCCTGTGTAATGTTCTTTATTGTGAGTTTTCACAAGTTCTTCCGAACTCGTGAGCATATTGTGAACACTGCAAGGCCTACGAGAGGATCTAGAGGGCAACCACTTGCCTGCTATCAACTTCCCTTTCGGAAGTGCCACGTATTTACTTTCTTGTAAAGTCGTGAGGACATTTTAGATGCAGTGTGGGCTTATACAATGATCTGTGGGAGCCAGCCAATGTAAAAGTCAGTATTTTCATTCTTCTATGCGGGTCTCGTAGCAATTTGTAGGCCCCGGAGGGTAAAAGCTTGGCTAGAGCGGATCAGGACAGTAGCCCGCTCTCCCCACCCTGCACGTGGTAAGGGTAGCACTTGCCACCACCCCCATCCGTCTCCTAACGGAACGTACTCCGATACTGTCCTATTCAAAACGATATATCATCTGGCGTGGTCGGGCGGAGATAACTTATAAGTTAAAGGCACCTTTAGCGATAAAGGTGGTGTAGTGGCAAGCGGCGCGCTCACCACTCGCGCGGTCCTGAGTTCGCGAGCTTGGTTAGCCTGGACGGGAGTTCCAGGTCGACTCCCGTCCAGGCCAACCAAGCCTTCTACCCTCGGGACGGTAAATTGGTACCAGATTCGTCTGGGAGGATAAAACACTGACTTGTACATCGGCTGGCCCCCGCAAGTCATTGTATAGGCCACATCGCATTCAATAAGCCACTACGATTCTGAATGGAAGTAGAATGCGTGCCGCATCCCACAAAGGGATTGATTAACGGCGAAGACTTTATCCTTTATCTTTCATCCGCGATAAACTAAGGCTATAAGCTCTCAAATGGGTTAGATGATCCGAAACCTGATCATTCCGGACCGTTTTTCTACTTTTTCTTCACTACTCAGTTACTTAGTACCTTGTTGTTCGTACCTGAGCTCCATTGTATACCATCTGTGATCACGGACTTCGCCTTTTAACTGGGAAGATGTCGGCTTCGCTGCTGATGCTACGCTGTGAGTGTGCCCCGAACAATTCGCAGAGCAAAGGGGAGGAGGCAAAAAACTGTTGCACCACTTACGTTGTTACTTCTCTCACTTGCTCAGGCTGAGCCTTGTTTTCGTTCACTTTTTCATTCGATGTCCCGTTTCCTTGGTCATCCTATTCTCTTTCCTGTTTCTCTGGCTTCTCCCCCATGCTACAATGTTTCGCTTTTTCGAGTGCTCATTCAATGTGCGAGCGTCATGTAGGGTGTTTTCGACGATTTTGTCCGTTTTTCTTCTCTGCTGTCTCAATGAGAATCCAGGATTCAGAACAGGTCTTATTTTATTTGAAATGCGGAATGCGCCTCATTTCATCCCCTTTATGGGCGGATACTCAAGAGATGCTCTCTTACAGCTGCCTTCGACTTGCTGCCTATTCTGAATTTTCCTCCACGCTTGCCAAGCCTCATTTCGAGCTTATCTACACTATCATACTGACAATGAGTTGGCTGAACTTTTACTTAGCGTTCAGGAATGGGTCAGAAACGGCAGTGAAACTCAAGCAACAAATATCGCTATTCAATGGATGTACGATCATTGTTGGGGTCATCGTTGGTTCCGGAATCTTCGTCAGTCCTAAAGGTAGTCGTACCTAAGACAGGAATCAAATTTTATCATTTTGATTACTTTTGTTTCGCGAACTACTGTTTCCCGCCGCCTTGTTCACGATGGAAAAGGCAACATTTTTATAAAATACAACGTCGTTTTCACAGAGGGGGATGCAGCAATAAACGGTACGGTGGGATCGCTGTTATTACTATTCATTTCAGGTGTACTTCAAGAAGGTGGAAGCGTCGGAGTATCCCTGGTTGTGTGGGTGCTATCCGGGATATTCTCGATGTTGGGAGCGTTGTGCTAGATAACGCCGAACTTGGCACTACCATACCAAAAGTGGTGGAGACTATGCCTACATTTTCGAGGTGAGTGAGCGTCACCTTTGCATTTCTCTTTGTTTATTTACCTATTTATGAGCGCACCGGATAACAATAATAGGGTTTGAAATAAATAAGCTGAATCTAGGTAGTACTGTAGTTTCCTCTTCTCCGATATGTATGATGTTCCTGCCTCTATAATGGTAACTTTTCAATCCATTCTAGTAAATAGAGGGCTCAGAGTGTATAGTGCTCTCCCACCTATTTCACTAAACTCTCGATTAGGTCAGCGCCATTTATCCCTCTTCTGAGATCTTTTAATCCCTTTTACGACATGCATGCCATATCGTACTAGACAGCAAGTTCACATACAGTTTGTTCACTGGTCTGCCAGAGAGCAGGGAAGGCGCAGCGCTAGCACGTTTTCCACCATTTAGTAGTTTGCCCTCTTCAGTAAGTGCTGGTAAACGGAGTGGCGCCTCGCCAAGCTTAGCCCTTCAATTGTCTGTAGCAAACTGAGACTGTCCTTTTCGGTCTGAACGAGTGAAATAACTGAGGCCAACAGGATCAAATGACGTAAAAACTGTCTTTTTTCAGGCTTTTGGCCCAATGCCAGCATTTCTGTTCCTCTGGATGGCACTAATTATCATCAATCCAACGTCAAATGCCATCATTGCTCTCACTTTTGCCAACTACGCGCTGAAGCCGTTCTTCCCCAATTGCGCAGTGCCTCCACTTGCTGTGGATTTGCTGGCCGCGTCTACAATAGGTGAGCTTATTATTTACAAAACTTTGATTACCGCCTCTGTTTTCAATCCTGTTAGTGTTGCTCTTCCCTTCTTTTAAAAATTGGGCGAAATTCCACTTCCCCGCAGAAAACAGCCGGGTTCGTACCGCGTCGTTTCTTTCTCGTAAAGAGCTAAACGCGCTGTAAAATTACGGTAGGAGATGCTACCATAGGTAATATCTATACTTCCCCCAAATTTCCATAATCTTTCTGTTGTAAAAATCTCAAATAGTTTAACTGTGTATTCGATGCTCTAACCAGTTTGCCACAGCGCTCTTTCCCACCAGAGAATATTCAAGTGGATTAAATTATTTATCTGTGACGTCACTGGTCAAACATAAGGGTATGTGATTCAAGCGGAGCTGCTGACGGCATACCCAGTTTTTAGTTTCGGCAACAAATAAGAACCTGACGTTCACAGATCACTAATTTTACAGGCTCTTAATGGGATGCAGAAGAAGCACTCGGGAGAGAGGGCACTGCATGGCCTGGGGGGACATACTTCCAGCTTTCCTGCTATTTTACATGTCTCGCGTTGATGAGACCTCTAGACTTCTATCAAGTTCAATGAAGCTCGTGCTACTGCATAGTTTTACAAGAGCCGACAGGGTCTCCACAGGAGACATAAAACATTAAACGAAGAAGAAACGGCGCTAAAATGCCCCCACTAAGCCCGAACTATGCTAGGGAGACCCTCAAAGGATGCCTTCGACGACCTGATCACTTCATTTTTCAGCACTTCTGACGTTCGTGAACTGCTACAATGTGCGGAATGGCCACTCGATTTAACGACACTTTTACCATTACAAAAGTGGCCGCTTTGGTTTGCATCATTGTAGCTGGCGTGGCCTGGCTCGCACTAGGTAGGTCATGCAGTAAGAATAGAGTTCGATTGGCTGCGTTCATACTCACGATAGGCAAGACTTGAGAGGACACTGTAGCTGAAGGCTAGTCGTTTAGACCACTGTAAGACAAGGCGCGTTCCATGCGAGGATAGAACGTTGCGATCCTTGCAGCGCGCCAACAAGTTGGCGGTAGGAACGCGTATCGTCGCAATCGCCGCGACAGAAACGTCAGTCGTGGACTTTGAACGCGGCCTTGCTTATAAAGTGAAGTATCGTTAGGGCTTTAATTTCATTACATTCTCAGGTAATACTGAATACTTTCAAATGCCTGACGTGCTCAGTGGAAGCCAAACTAAAGTTTCCTCACTGACTTTGGCTTTCTACTCGGGCGTTTTTTCGTTCTCCGGTTATAGCTATTTGAATTTCGTCACAGAAGAGCTCAAGGAGCCCTACAGGTTAGGAATTGTCCATTCAGTCTGGTACAACTATTCGAAACGCTAAGACATTAATTTTCAGAAATTTACCTCGGAGCAATCCTACATTCATTGCCAAGTGTAACCCTGAATATATAACTTGTAATATGGCGTACTTTGCTGTACTTTCCGTTGATGAGGTAGTTGCTTGTAAAAGTATAGCGTTTTGAAGAACACATTCCGCGCCGATCGTGCGGTTGGAGAGCGCTGTTCGGCTTGGGGGGGTCTACACTTTCTCTTGTTCCTTTTGCTAGTTCATGTTAACTAACAGGGCTCACTCTGGTGAAACCTGTCAACATTTGTGAAGCTGCGAAACGGTATAAGAATGAGTCAATTTTACAGTACTTGCTTGTGGCAGGCTCCTGAGGCATGCAATTGGTGTCCCACCAAGCCAAGCTGCGCCCGTGCCTGCGATGAATCTGTATTCCTGAAGATAAGGTCGCTTTGACTTTGACTACGCAACAACACTTTCAGATCCTCGAGTGCAGGATGCGTGCGGATAACGTTCGCTGGAAGGTGGATGGGGCCATTGCTGCCTCTGATGCTCATTTTTGTTGTCGCCTGCTTCATGCTTGGAAATCTGAACGGCATTCTTTTCACGTTTTTCCCGTCCCACGAATGTTTTTGCTGGTGCACGCTGAGTGGCCTATCGGCGCATTTTATTTTTTATTTTGGCGCGCCCCTCTTTTCGTGTTCTCTCGAAGGCTTGCAATATTTGACTTAATATTTCATTTCTTCTTCTTCCAGAGAAGGTCAACTGCCAGAAATGTTGTCGATGATCTCTATCGACTACCTCACACCTCTACCGTCGCTGCTCTTCCTTGGAGGTTTATTTCCATATTGTTCATGCTTGTTGAATCAGCATATTATACCAGATTTAGTTGCCTCAATTGTGATGCTTTTCGCCGGAGATGTGCTGACGGCGGTTATAAATAAATTATTGTGCGTTTTCGAGAGTCCTCGTTGTAGCGATATCGGTAGCCGGCCTGGTGAAAATGCGTTTCTCACAACCAGCGGCGAAGACACCAATCAAGGTATGCATAGTCTTGCTAGGAGGCAGAGATTGTACCGAGGTATGAGCGGGCCTATCCGTACCTTCGAGGACGGCACTTGCTATGTGCGAAGTGAACGGGTCCGCAGCTGCAGTGGCGCACCACATCCTCCGCTCGAAAGCGCTCGGGGAGAAGGCTGTAAGGTAGGATGGGGTGTTGCAGTGGCTTCTCACACTCCACCTACCTCACGTGGAGGAGAATCAACCGAACCAACATGCCGCAATCAAAGGCTGACTTTTGCTGTTAGGCGTGTGGTCGGCGGTGCGGCAGCGCGGGTGAGGTGAGGAGACGCCCCCCCCCGCGTCTTGATGCTCTGCAGCCCGTTCACCTGCACTTTTAAATGAAAAAGGCACTTTACCGCAGTTTCCGGACCCGTTCACACCACATATGGCGAATACTAGGACCCACGGGGGGATAGACACATTGTTTATGGTAATCCCAGTTTTGCACAAAGAACCGTCTGAATGGCCGCCCCGCCCAAGGTTATACAGAGCTTTCTTGCGATTGCTCGATCGGCGTGAAGTCGTGCACTGTGAGCAGTGCTTCTGCGTTCAGGCCACCCTTCTCACCTATCCTCCCCCCCCCCTGGCATCCCCCCATAGATCGACTCCATCTCTGGCATTCAAACAACTCCCATAGATGACTTCATCTCTACCTTCACAATTTCCTACTGCAAAATTCTGTTTTACAAGTACTAGTTGCATTATTATGACTGATCCGGTGATTTTCAGCTGAATATATTCATTCCACTAGTATTTCTCTTTTTCTGCTGCCTGTTTCTGGTGTTACCGTTCCTCTCCCAACCACTCGAATTGATAGTTGGCGTGGCGATGATTCTGTCAGGCGTACCAGTGTACTTCATATTCGTGAAAAGTACGCAAAATAGATCGTCTACCTATGCTCCATGGAGTAAGTCACCTTTTACAATGATTTATTTGCTAGCTAAAGAATATAAAAGAAAAATCGTCGAAAATGAAAAGTCACTGGTTTTATTGAAAAATCGAAACAAGTGAGAAATTCTAGGGCGTCAAAAGAAGTAGCTCAGCTTCCGTCCCGCACGTGCTCTTAGACGGAAGCCGAGCAGAAGCAGCGGGGAGAGGGGACTGCGGCAGTCAGTACCTCTTTCCCCAAATAAAACTCAGGCATGCTAGAGCGCAGACCAGACGCAGTAGCCACGCCTGGTCTAGGGAGTCGTGCTGCCGTGTGCCATCCAGCACCCCCCCTCCCCCTCCCCTGCAACCAGGGCACGTATAGCCGTTTCGGAAAATTTTACGAAACGACCTCATCCGAAATGTTCGAAAGGGGGAAAAGTGCACCTGAACAAGGAAAAACCGAGGTGAACTGGTAAAAATCGAGGATGTCAATAATCTAGAAAATTTTTTCCCCAAAGGCAACTACGACCCTTTTCCTGTAGCGACCAAAAACGACCCTCCTCGCTGGGACCACCCAATCCTCGACGTGACACTATATTATCGCCATGAACTCCTTTCTTATCGGAACCTTTCTATAACTGAAGTCTTTCCAGTTTGGTTCACCCAATGCATGCAGAAAATGCTCTTTTGTGTACCGGAGTCAGAAGAATTGTCATAACGCCGAGTGATCTTCCTCGCTTCCACTGCCTACATAGCGTTGCTGGTGTGAGTGGGCGGATAGATACATTTATCAAATTTTCTCCAACTAAATAAACCATTAAGTTTCGATTTCAGCATGATTTCCGTCCTTCTCAATTCTGCTGCTGTGATATGGATTATGACTGCGCACGTGTTTCCTGAATATTTTCGCCATATCCCGGCGATAGGGAGGGCGTGTCCACGTGCTTGGCTGCGAGCGCGGTTATGTATCCGCGGGCAGTCTTCAATTCAGAAAAAGCCGGACATGTATAGATTACTGTTGGCCCCGTTCTCTATACACTGCAGTGTCTCTAACAGAATCTGCAACTGTACATAGCGCCACCGACGGCTTCTCAGCTACTCGTGGACGTACGCCTAGCACTCAGTGCCGGATATGATCCTGCTGCACATCGTCAATTCACTAGCAGTTCCACCATGATATGCTATAGTAGTGTCTCCTAGCACATTCTATCGGGTCTGTAGTGTACAGTAGTATTTTTCATACTATTTCTCTTTCATACTATCAACATATTTCACAAATGTCTCTTATTCTCCAGGTGGAAGTGCCTTCACTATGTTTATGCGGGGCTATGTGCCTTGTCGCTCAGCAGAAAGCGCCAAAAGTTAGGCTGCGTTTATACTTTGCGGCAGCGTAGCGTAGCGCTTCCAGCGTACGCCAGCGGCAGTGCTGGGGAGAGGATGCATATCGATCTAGCGTTCCAGCGTCACCCAGCGTAAACGCTAGCGTACGGCCAACGTTTCTCAGCGTTATCAGCCTAGCGTTTTTGCTGGGCGTTTGGCGCCGGCACGGGGAGTAGAGAACTGATGTGGCCAGTAGGCAAGACGGCGTGATCGTTGTGTATGCTAGAGACGTAATGTGCCGTCAGAGACCGGAATCGACGCGGAAATTCCCACCCGCCCCCCCGCACCTCTGACAAGCTTTTTCGCGAGTAGTGAAGACGCCACAACCACAGTCAGCCAATCCAGTGTCATTCATGAAAAAGTCGTCGAGCAGGGGGATATGTAGTAAGCATGCGACGTACATCGTACGAGCATGAGGGGCGGGGGGGGGTCGTAGCCAGCCCCTGAAAATAAGAGCGGTCGTAAAAAGCTCGACGCGAAATTCCCGCATCGAAATCGCTGTGGCCCATGGTGACTAGATCGATATGCATCCTCTCCCTGCAGCTGCCGCGTGGCGTAGCGCTGGGCAGCCGTCTACGCTACCGCTGCCGCAAAGTAAATCAAACGCCAAGTTAGTATGTTCTCACTTGAACGAATCACGTCAGAACTGCTTTTCGGTGAGGGGGTGCAGACGAACTCATCTAGGTGGTTTAGCCCCGCTAGGAGGCCCTTTCCAAGGCCTATAGCGCCCTTTATTCTGGTCTCCTGATGCTTTTCTTTTGTGCCGACGGAGCTGTATGGTAGAAGTGTTTATTCTAACTGCCACAATTTGAGATTCTTGAATAGTTTTTTCTTCGGGATCTCTCGAAGTAACTCGCTTTTGGCCAGCGTTCGGATCGCGATTCCTGATTTTTGAGCCGCGTCCAGTCTTCTGACGCTGATGTGGCCGAGACGACTCTAAAAAGAAGCTTCACGTTTATACTGCGTGTTCACACTTCTTGACTCGAGCGATTCAGTCGCCTACTGCGAATGACCCCAAATCCATGGACTGCTGCAAAGTTCGAAGCTCGCACCGTTCCGACTTTTATTGCATTAGCGGCTGCAGCGGTCCAAGGATTAGCGATGGAGCGCGACCGATCACAATCGCGCGACTGAACAACTGTAGTCGCGGAGTATAAATGCGAGCCAACCCTGTCTTTGACACAGTTGAAGAGAATCAAAGTTTAGGAACAATGTCGAGCTTTTATGAATAGAGAACTTGGTGACTGCCTATAAGACTGTGTTCATTTTCTATTCATTTACATGGGAACTTTTTAATAGATTGATCACTTATTGTTATTCATTTTTGTTGCCTAAAGAAGTATAATAAATATTGGAGGATCCGTATGTTTAAATTGACAACAATCAACAATGCCGCGATTCTTAGTTAGCAAATTGCGAATACACCAGCAAGGAGTGAGCAGTCCGTGTTTTCCAATACAAATTATTGCCATTATCCCTGTAAATAAGAGGATGAATGGATCGGAGCGCAGCCAGGGCGGCTTTTCTCACCAATTGATGGCATCCTGAGCTCACAAGGACTGGTGAAAATGGCTTCCCTGACCTAGCTTTCCCAAGTCGCAGCCCCTTCACACACAACACACACATTAACGTTTTGACGGGAACTCGTTCGATTCTACGACTTATTTTATTGGAAACCAATGGACACTTAGCGAGAGAAAGCATCAGGAAAAGTTCCAGTTTTGCACAAAGAATCCTGTGAATGCCCCTTCACGGTTACCAGAGCCTTTTTGCGATTGCTCTGATTGCGTGAAATCACAGACTGTGAACAATGCAATTCAGCCACCCTCCTCCCTTCTTCCAGCCTCCCTCCCTTAGATCGACTCCATCTCTGCCTCCACAGTTTACTATGGCGGAGTATTCTGTTTAAAGAGTAGTATTTGCATTATTGTAGCTGATCTAGTGATTTTCAGCTGAATATATTCATTCCACTGGTATTTCTCTTTTTCTGCTGTCTGTTTCTCGTATTACCATACGTTTCCCAACCACTTGAACAGATGGTGGGCGCGGCGATGATTTTGTCAGGCGTACCAGTACACTTCTTATTTGTGAAAAGTAGGCAAATAGATCGTCTGATTACGCCCCATGGGGTAAGTCACTTTTCGTGATCGTCTATTTGGTAGCTAGAGAGTAATGAAGCCTTCTCATTCTGAAAAGAGGTCCTGTAGGTAATGGTTCTCGACTGGAAATGGTACTAATATGGCTCAGGGAGGAGGGGAGGGTCCTGTAGGGGGAGGGGGGACACGGCAGTCTGTGTCGCTTTCCGTGATTACGCGTAGCAGAGCCAGGACACGTCATCGGTTAGGGATTTTGGTCGAGTCCATGCACTTCCCCGAGATTCCTTCTCCCCCACAACTAAATACACCCCTTATAGCATCCGCCAAACAAGAAAAA